CAGCCAACTGACTTCCAGTCCCCTCATGTTTCCCTAACTGGCTCCCAATCGTCTTGCTCACCCACTCCTACCCTCCCACCCAGTTCCCAGTCTCCTAGCCAAAGTTCCTCTTCCTGCCCCCTCCAATTCTTGTATCACCAAACTCCTTGTACCAATATACTACTTTTCCTCCCCTCTTCCTTCAAATCTGACAGCTTCCTCTTTCCCACTGCCTGAGTAGTGGTGGTGGTGGCGGCGGTGAAGAGACATCAAGAGCCCAGGAGAGAGAGGCCTCCTACCCTGTTCTGGAGCACTCATTACAGGGTGAAAAGCCAGCTTTGACCCCCTGTTCCCCTTGGCTGGAGCACACTCAGTAGCTTTGTGGAGATAGCTCATATGTAGTCTGGTCTTCTTTAGGAGCTGTGAAAAGCTTGATCTTGCTTGGTGAGGGCAGAATCTTTGAAGATTTTTAGGTGCTAAAATCTCAGCTGAGCATGTGTGAACTACAGCTTTTCAAAGGCTTATGTTCAAATTAGGATGGTTTTTCATAAAGACTGCAAAAAGCACATCCCTGATGGAAGGGCCACCCCCCCTGCCGTATTTCATGTCCCTGCTCTGAAGCATGGGCTGCTAGAAGTGTTAAAGAAAAGATTGACAGAATATTTTAACAAGGGTAAAACAAAGTTCTACTTCTCTTCTCGCTGTCCTGGTGGTAACAGGTGAGAATTTTGTTATGCATATAAGCAAGTGCAAACAACACTATTAAAGTTTGCTTTTTTTTTAGTTGAGTTTAGGATATTCTGCCTGAATTACTCTCTGACGCCAAGGGATTCCCATCTCCTAGCAAAAGATTAGTAAAATACTGACTGCTTGAAAATTAGGTGACCAGTATTTGTGTCTCAAAGAGGTAATGTTCTGGAACAGTGCTTCTCAAAGCCGGTCCGCCGCTTGTTCAGGGAAAGCCCCTGGCGGTCTGGGCCGGTTTGTTTACCTGCCGTGTCCGCAGGTTCGGCTGATCATGGCTCCCACTGGCCAATGGGGGCTGCGGGAAGGGCGGCCAGCACATCCCTCGGCCCGCGCCGCTTCCCACACCCCCCATTGGCCTGGAGCGGCGAACCGCGGCCAGTGGGAGCCGCGATTGGCCGAACCTGCGGCAGGTAAACAAATTGGCCTGGACCGCAAGGGGCTTTCCCTGAACAAGCGGTGGACCGGCTTTGAGAAGCACTGTTCTAGAACATTACCTCTTTTAGACACAAATACTGGTCACCTAATTTTCAAGCAGTCAGTATTTTACTAATCAAGCGGCGGACTGGCTTTGAGAAGCACTGTTCTAGATCATTTTGAACTGGATTCTCCAGAGGGACTGTTGTTTCATGATCTGACCACTGAACTGAGAAAAAGAAACTTTCAGTTCCTTTTCTGAAATTTTTTGTATTTATCTGTAAAATACCTATGCATGTAAAGAAGATAAGTAGAGATACTTTCAATATGGTATTACATGGGTAAAAACAATGTATTTGGTATATTGTAGATTAATAGGTTCACGAGTAACTAGTTTTACACAAAATTAGTAGTGAAATATTTTTGCAAACATGTAAAGCATATGTAGCTATACAGGTGGAAAGGTTCCTGTAATTAAGGTGAAAGATAACAAGGGCATGGATAATGTTTTTAATAATTAGAGTGAAGAAACAGCTTTTGAAATATAAAAAGGAAGAAGATATAGGATTAGTAAGACTCTGTATAGTAGTAAAAAGTTGAAGATAACACTGAGATTAGGCACCCAAGAGATGAGAAGGATGGTGGAGGCAAGGAGGGAATTAGGTGTACATACCAAAATTACATCTTTCTAGACGTAGTACAGTTTAGTCTTAGCCTGATGTTTGTGTGTTACAGCAACATTGATAAAAGCCATACACTCCTCATGCTGGTTTTAGGGATGTCTAATGCAAGCTGTGATCCATTTCTTATCTTATATTTTATGTTTAGCCACATTTGTAACTGCTTTCTCATTGCTATTATTTATTCTGAATAATGTTGGGAGTGTTTCTGCAAACAGGCTGGATTTTTATCAAAATATACATTGCAGTTGTGTCTCTCCCTCTTCTTCCCCCTTTCCTCCCTCCCCCCCCCCCTCCCCAAGTTGTGTTTCTGACAAAAATATTTTGGCAGTCCCAGGTGGTGTATGGACCTCTTTTCCACTTCCTTGCAATTGTAGCTTGGGAGTTCAATTTTGCATTGACTACTGGGGGGTAAAAGTATATGACTTCTTTGTATTTGAATTCTGTTCATTATGGTGAGAATTTTAGAAGAGATCTGGAAAATATTTTATATTACACTGAAATTCTTTCAGTTTTTCCTTTTCTGTACTGTGACATCTATTCAAGTATCTTCAGAGCCATATAGAAAATGACAACCTTTTATTAAATCTGCCTGCTTTTTAAAAAATTGTTAACTTGTTTTTAAATATGCACATGAATTGCCATAAGTTTTCTAAACTTGTGGTGTGGTGGTGATGTATTTGGAGATATTAATAAAAATCTGATCTTTGAAATTTGTATTGTTAACTGAGTTTAAGAGATGTAAAATCTGAAAGAGTGAGCTGATCTACCTTAAGTCAGTTTATTCTGTTCCCTCCTGTGTTAGGGCAATATTTGGAGGATTGGATGAGGAAGTTTTAGCATCTCCTTTCTCTTGTCTCAAAATAGTTAAAGGTGGGTTTTGAGCATTTACTTTGGATTTGGACTTCCATGTACATCCAAGCTGTTAGCGGTATCCAATAGACTGCCTATTAGATACCTTAGATAAGATGCCTGGATTTTGAAGAGTCCTCTATTTTGTTATGCTGCAGAAGCTTGTATTTGATTTCTCACCCATTCCCAAGTGAACTTATGTACCCACTGCTGCAGTTGTTTTTTGCTTTCAGTGAAGTTTTGTTACACAAAATGCAGTTTTCTCTGATAGAATTCTACAAATGCACATTCTTATTCAATGCCTTTAGTCCCCGTACATATTCAGTCATGTCTGCTTAATCTAATTGTAAAAGCAGCATCCTGCTTTTTACTACTTAAACTTGCGAAGACTAAATTAGATTCTATTCTATATGAAAATATTTAAAAATTTTAAAATATTCGTGTACATCCTCAACAGAATTGTTATCTAGCAATTATACGTGTACAAGGCTTTAGGTTTCAACACATTGTCTGTGAGGTATCTCAAAAATTGTTGGACACAGTAAAGGTTGGTAGGTCCCAAATTTACTTTATTTAAAAAAAAAAAAAGATCTTGGGTATTTGGCTACTTGACAATCCTTCTTTTCCCCAAAACTTGTTTGGTTTTCTTTGAAGATGCAAGATTAGTGCTAGCAATCATCCTTTACCTGGGAGCAATCCTAACATAATAATTTAGTATGTTCATACCATAATGGAAAATGTATGTGCCAGGGAGACTTCATAAAGAGATATTTTTAAGTTTCAAGAATCCCAGTGGTTAAGAACTAGAAATTTTAAAAACTTAAACTGTCAACATCTTGATATCTTCCTATACACATTAAGTGTAAATCTTATCAAACTTCAGGTTTGTTTGTAAAATATGAAGACTTTTTTGAACTCCACTAAATGAAGAAAAAAAAACAACTTACCATGTGAAATTAAATCTGGCAGTTAAATGTTATTTCTTTCTGTACTCCTGTGGCAGCTTTCTCTTCCAACTTTATGGGAACACTTTAATTTAAATCATACTGTAAAACATTTTCTGTTTTATAAACAAATGATTAAAATTGAGGATTTAAAAAACCTTATTTACTTTTCACTGTTAATCTGTCTGCCTTGCAGCTTGAAGATGAGCTGTTCTTCATACACAGGCATCAGCAGTGGTTATAAAAGATACTGTAGGCCAAATTCTGATGTCTGTTATATCTGCATAAAATCCTGTTTTAAGATTATACCCTAAAATGTGCAATTGTATTTGCATAATTTGTGTAGTTGAAAGTGGAATTTGATCTTGCAGCATGTTTTCTACACGTGTATGAAAATAATCTAGATTGGTTTTTCAGAACCCAGGGTAAATTGTTAGGGCTGGCAATTGAAAAATCTCCCTTCTGAACTGAGAATTTGATGTGCTGGCATTGTAGTGTATTTTCAAAAGTGAATTGCTGTGCTTCTACTAGCACAGTAGCAGACTTAATAGTGGCACAATCCTATTTCTGTATCTGTGTCTCTCCCCCCCCCCCCCTCCAGCTCTCTCTCAAATCTTAAACATTAAATATCTCGATCTTGACAAGACTTAAAAAAAAAAAAAGTTCACTATGGAATGGATCCACAATACTTGTGTTTTAAAAACAGGATTTTCCTCCTGTCTCAAGGGACTTCTGTAATATTATTTAATTTGTTTTTTTTTAAAAAGTGTATTTCTTTTAAGACTGCTTAGAAATATCAGGAAATTAAAACTGACTTTCTCCAGCGAGGCAATTTCAAGACTCTAAACGTACAACAATTTGGTTCATATTTGCTCTTTAAAAGCAAATATAATACTTTGGTCTTTGCAAGTTATTCTGGTCTTGATTGTTTAGGAGTATACTTTTTTCTGTGGTTTGTCTCTAAACTGCAATGAATGCTAACTTGGTGTATTTCTGTATAGCAGCTGTGGAATCATGTTTCTCTGCTTGAGCTAGCATATGTCTGTCTATCTGCACTGGGAAACATGCTTCGAGCTGCTGCATAGACAAACGCTTGGTGTGGTGACTGGTCTTGGCAGAAAATTCCACTCTGCCTTAGATGCAAACCATACCTTACTGAACTAAGTTGAAAGTTGCAATTTACAGATTTGAGTTAAGTACTTGCTGAGAGGCAAAGCAAGAATAGGAAGTGCCTATTTGCAAACCTGTTCTCTGAAAAGAGACAGACTTTCATATACCATGTTTACATGAGCAAGTAAAATGATTTCCAGATAGACTTATTTTAACACTTTTAGCAGAAACATATCTTAATTACAGCAGTTGCCTAATATTTTACCTCTTTTAGTGTTTTAGAAACAAGATCGCCATGGCCACAGAAATTGGCTCCCCACCCCGGTTTTTCCATATGCCGAGGTTCCAGCACCAGGCACCTCGGCAGCTGTTCTACAAGAGACCTGATTTTGCACAGCAGCAGGCAATGCAGCAGCTCACCTTTGATGGGAAACGGATGAGAAAAGCTGTGAACCGGAAAACCATAGACTACAATCCCTCTGTAATTAAATATTTGGAGGTAAGTCTAGTTAGTCTACTGTACCAAAGTCTGAATAGTGTTTTCTGAAACTCTGATTATTCAAATTTCAGGTATGTTCAGAGTAGTTTGGGTAATTGGGGATTATTTATAATTGACAGTGTTATTTCAGAAATGTACAGAGTCAGTGAAGCGTGGATAGATGTTGCTCATTCTGAATAAAACAATAAACCTTTAGTTCATATTTGAAATGGAAGATTTACTGTTATATAAAGCTTTTCTGTGAATTCAGATTTGGGACAAGAATTGCATATATTATTACTTTGTTTTGACATTCAAGCTGACCTAAATCATACGTTAATTATGTTAAGATTCATATGATCATTCTTTGTCAACTTTTACTTTGTGGGGAGAAATGATAAATAAAAAAAGCTTGTTTGTCCATAGTGGGCAACAGAAAAGTAGTTGTCATTTTCTATTCAACTGCCTCCTTGAATAAAAAAAACTAATATAGGCTACTCATACCACAAGTCTGTGAACCACCTTGGGCAGTCCTAATGGCTGAGACTACTTTGAACCAAATACTGCAGAAGATATCTTTCCAAGAAAAAATACCCACTTGGCTTTCCAAATTACTTGGGGTATGTCTATGCAGGCAAGTTTCTGCGCCACAAGTTATACCACTTTTATTAGAACGCTGGAAATAAACCGCTGTTGCGTGTCCACACTGTGCTCCTTGTGACGCTGGAGCGCATCCACATAAGCAGCTCTTGCAACGGCAAAGACAGCAGTGCATTGTAGTAGCTATCCCTCTGTGCAACTGGCTGCAGGGTGCTTTGGGAAGGGTTTGCAATGCCTCATGGGGCAGACATAGTGTTATGTGATTCAGGTTTCCCAATCCCATTGTTCCATGGGTATCCTACTACATTGCCAGCTGCTTTTCAACTGAAGGGGCAGGGTAGGGGGGAGGGGGAAGAGTGTGTGTGTGTGTGGAGGAGAGAGACAGTGTTTTTTTGGGTACAGAGTGTCAATATGCTGTCTTGTAAGTTCAGACAGCTGCAGGAAGCAACCAGTCCTGGGGGAGGGGGAAACCCCGACATCAGCTCCTGCCTTCCTCCCTGGGCTCTCTGCACAGATAAATAGATATATACTGTCTCTGTGCTCAATAGCATAAGCATTCCACATTAATGGTTTGCTTTGTGGCCCAGAGCAGATCAGCCAGCACAGCACACAAGGGCTGTCAGAAACTGTGCTTTGAATGGGGAGGGGCGCATGTCTCTGGGGCAGCTGAGTTCAAAACAATGAGTAGAGCGGTCACTTGAGGCATTATGAGACAGCTCAAGAGGCCAATTACAGTGCAGAAAGCAATCAAGTGTCTACACTGGCAATAGAGCGGTGGAGCCTTGGCGCAAGTAGCCTCAGTATAGCTGCGTCTATGCCAGGAGTTTTGTCAGCATAGCTGTATCAGTAGGGGTTGTGTGTTTTTCACACCCGTTGCTTATACAGCTATGTGGGTATATGTTTTAAAATGTACAAGAAGTGTGTAGATATATATTTGAAAAAGAGGTTCCTGTGCCCACCTAGCAACATTTAGAGCCAGGTTTTGAATCCCATACCATCAAAAGTTAAGGCTCCAGGTTCAAACTATCTCCATATTTAACTGATCTGAAATTTTAACTGGTGTGGCATGGGCTTTCATGTTTTTATCACATCATAGTCACCCCAGTCAGAAAATTACATGCCAAAAATATTTATCTAAAATTCTAGCTTAAACTTTGATTCACAGTCAAAACTTGATTGAACCCACAATATCAAGTTAACTTAGGGTGCTAGTCTTAAATTTGCCAAGCTGTGAATCATGCCATGTCTAATAATTGAATACTGTTATGATTGGCAATATAGAATATCATATATATTGGAAGTGAATTTTTTTGTCTTCTGGCCTTTCAAACCCTACCCCACTGTCTGCTCTTGGTGCCCTGACCATAGAAATGTCCTTTCTACGCAAGTACTACTGGATGGAACTCGCTTTAGTTTAGAGGTCATCAATACAGCTCTTACACCCCTCTACCTCATATAACAGGGTTCAGGACCTGCCCCTCTTCCTGGGGCCCACTTGCTGCCCCCAATAAGGCTCAGAGCGGCTTCAGGGTTGTGCAACACCCGTGTCTTTGTTTACTTAAAGTTGTCCCACCACCAGTGTCCATCTATATAGAAGCTTTACAGGATTAGTCACCTCGTTTACAGGCAGAGTCAGCCTTCAGCTAGGAGGCCTCCAGTTCCCTCCCTGACTGACTTCTCCCTGGCTGTCCCCTGCTTTCTGGCTCCCTCCCAGCCTTTATAGCCCTTGGCTTGTCAGGCCAGCAGGTGTTGCCAATCCTCAGGCCGGCATCAGGCCTTTTCCATCAGCCCCAATCTGCTTTCCTTGATTGGAGCTGACCGGGCAGGGCTAATTAGGTGCTTTTGCACCAGCACCCTGCTACAAGGGGTCACTGAAGAGCCAAAGCTCTTAAAGAGTTGAGCAGGAGTATACAGTTCTTTCTGGCCTAGAAACCAAGAGGCCAGGCTTATGTGTCTCTTGTAGTAATGCAGAACATTAAACACAGGATCACTGCCTTCCTAGTATTTTTACACAGAACATTTACTTTCAGTGAATAAATACTTGGAAATCCGCAATCACACTTTCTGTTATGTTATAAATTAATCATTCTTCTGACTTTACATGTTCCTTATAATCTACCTCTATTCTCCATCATCTTACGTAATGTAAAATCTACTAGTTTCCTGAAGCACAAAATTTTGTACTGGATTTGTTCTGAAACTTATGCAGTGCATACTGAAGCTTCCAAATATGCAGTCTGTATAATTCTTCCTACTTTTTGTTCAATAACACTGGAATACAGCAATAATAATAACCAGGAGCTATTTTTTTCTTTCCAGAATAGAGTATGGCAGAGAGACCAGCGAGATATGCGGGCAATTCAGCCTGATGCGGGATATTATAACGATGTAAGTACAAATCTTTATATATGCTTCTAAAATTCTTCTACCTGAAAAGTAGGACTCTGCCTCTGTATACCAAAGTTCTCTATTTGCCCTTGAGAGGTGACTAAGACTTAGAGGGAATCTTCATGCTATGTTCCCCTGCACTAAAGGAACCTTTTTGTCCCAAGGAGAGAGCCTGAAGGTTAATGGACTCTTTCAGTCCTGTTCTAGTGAAGTGAAATTGCTAAAGTTCAGGTGTTGAAAGGTTAATTGCATTTGAGGAGATGATTGTGTGTGTGTTCCTGAGATGGTGAGAGTATTATCTGCTGATTTCAAACTCTGAACATATTTAATTGATTCATTCCTATAATCAAATGCTTGTTTTTCTAGTAATGAGCCTTCTGGGCCTCTGCTTTTCTTGCTTCTTTCCCAAGATGCAGGTTGAAACATTGTTGCTAAAATTCTTTTCTTTCCTCACTTACAGCTGGTCCCTCCTATAGGAATGCTGAATAACCCTATGAATGCTGTAACAACAAAATTTGTTAGGACATCTACCAATAAAGTAAAATGCCCAGTGTTTGTTGTCAGGGTGAGTATTATGTTGGCCTGGGCTAGAAGATTTGTTCCCAGGCGTGATTAGTTAACTGTGAAATATTTGTCTGTAATAAAATTAGAATGGCAAGATAATAAAACTAGAAATGTTTCTAAGTAAAACCATCATGCAGGATTCCAGGTCTTGGGCACCCCAAGGCTTTTTCAAAACCTGGACTGACACGCCTCACCTTTTTCACAGAGGATCCTAGGAACCCTGGGACAATTAATCAATTTATTCACTGTTTGGTTTGTATGTATTTCACCTTCAGTCTAATTTTCTCAAAACTTTTTTTGTACCAATGTGTCTCAACATTATCTTGAGGGAACCAACTCGAAGGAAGAGGGTAGTTCAGTCACGATGCCTGTTCAATCCTTGCAATCTACTAGCTTGCCTGCAAGGGTGCCAGGATTCTAGTAGTAGTGGCATGTTTGATGAGGACACCTGTTCACTAGAACTGGATTGAAGCCATCAAACTCATTTCACATAAGTGATTTGACAGCCACCTTTTGATAACTCTTGGTCACTAGTGTTTTGGGCTGGATTTGAACTGGTGACCTAGAGATGAAAAGCCCTGTTGTATCCTATGACAACCATCTGATATTTTTTTTTTCTTCTTACCTTCCAGTACAGAGTCACTTTATAAATCCAAATGCTTTAGAATCTCATGCAGGCACTTGTATTTTAACAATGCTGAAGGATACAGGAAAGGTGTCTGGGCACTGACTACACAATCTAATTCAATTTTTCTCTTGCAGTGGACTCCTGAAGGGAGGCGCTTGGTCACTGGGGCTTCTAGTGGAGAGTTCACCTTGTGGAATGGATTGACTTTCAATTTTGAAACAATATTACAGGTAACTGCATCCAGCAAGCTGTCTGCATCTTTCTCTGAGATTGTAAAGAATATTGTAGTCCTGCATCTCCACATACTAATCATGGGCTAGTGGACTAAGTTCAGTCCTGAGAGCTAGGAATACCCGAGTACTTATCCTGCGCAGTCCCTGACTCCTGTTGTGATCTTGGGCAATTTGTTTAATGTTTCGAGCTGCATCTCCCTGTCTGAACTATAGAGATAATATTTCTGACTTGTTTTCAAGGGAATATGGTGAGGATTTATTATGTTTTAAGTATTGGAGACACCGTGCAAGTATTTAGCTCTTCACAAGTAAATTGTGCACTGCACTGTGCAAGATACATAAAATAGTCTCTCCCTGAGGAGCTTGCAGATCTAAATATTCTCCGTTTCTTTTATTCCCTTGTCATAAATGTTAAATGTACACGTTCTGAATGACTTTTGTGTTCATGTGGGTTAGGTAACATTTGAACGTATTTGTTAGAAGTTTTATTTTTGACTCCTCAGGCTCACGACAGCCCTGTAAGGGCCATGACTTGGTCACACAATGATATGTGGATGCTGACAGCAGACCACGGGGGATATGTGAAATACTGGCAGTCCAACATGAACAACGTCAAGATGTTCCAGGCACATAAGGAGGCGATTAGAGAGGCCAGGTTTATACACAATATACCATTTTCTGTAGTACCTATTTCCATAATTAGACTGTTCTCTAAGTGTATTCTGGGTGCAGAGATGCATGGGTTCTGTCAGATTCTGGGAAACTTCATGCACCAAGTAAACACAATATTTTCTTTTGTTTCCACATTCTCACCGTTTTGCTGGCAACTTTCTGAAATAGTATTGTCCCAGTATCTGCCTCTGCAATATGTTAGAGATGTATTTGTCTGCCGCATTTTGCACTGGTATTCTTTTCATTTATATATGGTGACGATGTGTATCAGTTATTCCTTTTTATACGGACTGTGTAAGACAACAATTTCAAATAAAGAATTCAGTCTTTAATAATCTAACTGAATAAAATATAAAACCTTCAGAAACAAAACACCTGCATAGTTCTCACAAAATAATAATAATAAAAAAAAAGCTAAATAAAGTGAAGAACTGCTTGGCTTGGTGAGGCCAAGGTTTCCACTAATACTGAAGACCCACACAGATTGCCACATCCAGAAGTCTAATGTTAACATTGAATGGGTTCTTAAGCTTTGAAGCTGTAAGCAGACCATTGAAAAGAAGATTGTAGGACATTTTCCTGATTCAGTGTTGATACCTCAGTTGTGCAAATGTATATTTTATATAAAAATGGAGTTAAGTGATATTTTCAGTAAGATGTATATGAAAGATGTTTCTAAAGTAAATATGGATGAATCTTTTAGTAAGATATGTAAAGAGAAGAAATGTTTTTTAAAGTAAACCTGAAGAGGAGCTGCAGACCCAAAATAAATCTAAAGCAGTGTTTTTTCAGATTGGGGTGCTGCCCCTTGGTGGTAAGAGGTTCACTGCCACAGAAACACTTTCTATTGAGGTCACCACTTTCCCCTCTGATAAGATTCAGGATTTCTTGACAGTTTGATTTACAAGACATGCGTACATTGGATGCAGTTATTGGTTTAGTGTATCATGTCCATACACTGAATTTCTCCAACAGTAAGCCCCTTCCCGATCATAAAGATCCAGGATTTCAAGGGGATTGCTGTTGAATTAACTGAACAGAGACTCTTCCTTGGTCATTCGCTGCACCAGAATGGAAGTGGCTGCTTGTCAGTTGCTGGAGATGGTCTGACCTTAATCACGTGGCTAAATAACCTCACACTTTTCCCAGTGGCTTTCATCAAGCAATATTGATAAATTTGGAAGCATCTTCCATGGTTGTAGAATTCTAACTTCATTTCACAGAGGGGAAAATCTTCCCTCTATTCCTTTTCATATGTGTGGAACATGTTTTATATAAGAATTTTTCAGCAACCAGTCCAACTGCTAGTAGCAGTAGCCTCTTCCTATTTCCCACCTTCCCTTATTTTTGCTTGTCTTGCTGCAAGGCACCTGTGGCTGAAGAGGAAATTTACTCTTAGTGCTCTCCCCCATGCTTCTGCACAGTGTCACTTTACCACTATCAACGGCGTGAAAGTCTAGGGCTGCAGTTGCTATTAAGTCAGTTTTGTGTTGCTGCTGGTCTCACAGAGAAGGTGCTGCTGTGTACAGTCATAGGTAGGATAGTGCTAAATATAAATTCTGGATTTTCCCACTTGACTGGGGATCAAAATGCAGAAGTAAATCCTAAACTAAATTCAAAGTCTTCTGATGGAAATGTGTCAAATGGCAGACACTATGTTTAATTAGTGGCCCTTATGTTCAAATGCCTCTTTCAATGTATAACACCTTACAATTTAATTTTGCCCTGTCTGCGAAGCATAGATATTCTGTTAAATGCTGACTTCTTTCCCCTGCTGTGTGTCTTCATGTAACAGTTTCTCACCCACGGATAATAAATTTGCTACATGCTCTGACGACGGCACTGTTAGAATCTGGGACTTTCTACGTTGCCATGAGGAGAGAATTCTTCGAGGTATGTGTGCAAATAGTACTGATTGGGATATTTCAAGAGGGGGAAACCTTTTTGTAATTAAGTGTTCACAATACAGAAATATCAGCTTGTCTCCATTTTTCCTATGACATCCCTACCTTAAATCCTCCAAACAGATAATGCCACCAGGAAAACGGATACTTCAGTTGGCCACTGTTTCTCATATCTCCCAGTGTCCAGACAGCTTTTCAGATTTACATTACCCATGTTTACCGCCTGTTTAAACTCTTTAGATTTTGGAGTTTGGTATAAAGATGCTTTCCTAATCCTGGTGTTGGCAGAAGCAGCTGTTAGGAAGGCAAATATATTCCTAATCTTTCATCAGTGCTTAGTAACTGTGACAACATTTGCTCCAGAGTACACACATTGTCATGCAGAATGTGCTGTTTTTCAGAGAAGTAACTTTGAAAACACTCATTTGACTCCAATTTATTCTAAGGCAAGTCAGTTACTCCTTATCTGTGTGGAACATAACTAGGTGAACAAAAAACACTAAGTTTTGATCACACCACACTCTGCACATGTTAAATGTCTTGGCTTCTCAGTTCAGAAATAGTGTCTGTGAGAGGACACTTATGAATCCTTTCCATTAGATACAGTTCAGGAGCTTTCTACCTCTTTTTCTGCAATCTTGTTTAGTAGCAATAGCCTATATAAATCATTCCTTTCTTTCCGAAGATGCCACTTAATTTTCTGAGTTCATCTGCTAATGTTCATATATTGGACCAGTGCGATATAGTAGATGTAACAGGATGAAATATCATTAAGGGCTGTATTAATATTGCTGTCATGTCACGAGATATGAATGGGATGTCGGCATGCAGACAGTCTGCAAGGAAGATGACTTTAACAAAACACTGGAACTCTTGGCCTTGGTGCCTGAACTCATTTGACATTTGCCAATGCAGAGGTTTTAAAAACCTTATATATCACACTTGGACTTGCACCATTTTACAAAAGAGAATATTCCCTGCTTCTCTTGGACTCTATTCTGATTTTTACTGTTATATTATCCCTTTGAACCTCACTACTGTTGAAGCCTAGTATTTCAATATAGTCTTGCTTTCATGATTTTTCCATCAGAAACATCACTGCAGGAGTTTCTGTTCCTTTCAGGAGTTGACAAACAGATTTCTAGGGCATATTGTTGGTATTACAGTTATCTCTAGAGGCACCAATCAGGTTGGGGACCATTGTGCTGTCTGCTGTACAAAAGATCAAATTCTGTACTGATGTATATTCCATGCAATCACATTAACTATTCAGTTGGATTGTATAAGGGAGGAGCGATTACATCTGTGCAGAGTTCAGTCCAGTGTGTAGGTCTTGCATTAATTTCACTACTCTTTCCCTATCATCTATGTTCTTCTGCATAGAGGTCTCTTAGGCCAAGGGAACAAATGACTTAAGAATTTCAGGCCAGTATATAATGATACTTGTACTGTATTTCCTTCTGTTGTTTCATTTACTTAGAGATTGGGATTGTGTGTACATTCTAGATATAGTTTCATTTTTAAATACACTATAAAATTGTCAGAGTGAAATCCATCATATTTATATATAGCAAAATAGTTGTATAGAGAGAATAGGGCTTGTACCGTCACTGTCCATATAGTGTATGTACAATACACTCCTTTTTTACTGACTTTATGTAAATCAGCAGTATTGCCAGATGTTCACCACCTGACATAATAGAGCACATGGATTCTTGAGAGAACCTTTACTTTTGCTTGCGGAACAAAAAACCTTTCTAAAAGTGGTGGAAAATGTGATCTCTTCATTCAGGAGTGCAAGATGGATTTTTCTGGTGCCCTGTGCTGTATATCTGATTAAAGGAACTATATGAGAGCCTGTTACATGTCCTCAGTAGAGAGAGATGTAATACGGGCGTTCTTGCTCCAAACCTTCCTTTATCTTCTGCCCCATATTGAAGTTTTAAAGTATTATTTAGGATGATTGCCTGAAAAATTTTCAATCAAGTACAGATTTTAGAACATACGCATCCCCCTACCATGATGGTTGTCTTAAAAGATTTGTATTCACTTAAAAGTTTTCAGCAAGTAAAGTTGCAGAGGGCTGTGTGCAAATTAGAATCCTAAAAGGATTTAATTAAGACTAACTGATATCAATACACCTCTCACGCTTTGACCTGTCCGGTTATGTCTGTATATATTGTTTGATCAAGAATGATGGTATACTTCCTGTTCTCACTCAAACCGTTCTTCAAGTATTCTGGTTAATACTAATGCCATTGAAGTTCAACACAATTAAGGGAATGCTCTGATGTAGTTTAGGCCCAAAATTTGATTCTTAAAATATTACACTATCCTCCAGCTTATGAATATCTGTTTATAAAAAATAGAAGACTCCCAACACTTCATTATCAGACTGTACATAAAAAATCCATTCTCTGAGAGGCCAAATGTCAATAAGTTCTTCCTGCTGATTCTGCAGCAGCAAGCTAATCAAACTATTTCAAAACCAGCCTGAGGATCTTGCACAATGCACTACCATGCTGCTGTAGCACATTTCTAGTTTGCTTCTAGATTAGCAGGGCCAGAGAGTACAACAAAGTCAGGCTCATCTCTGGTATAAGATGATGATACTCTATTGACTTAATGCTTTTGCTCACTGGGGAAGTGACCAAGTTTGTTCATCCCCATTAGGGGAGGAAATGCTTGATATTGCTCTTTGGGAACAATTCTAGCCAGGTTGGGAGTGGTGCCGATGGACTGACCTTCAGTTGCAGGAGGGGAGGAGAGAGAGAGAGAGAGATATGAGGAGACGGGGTTTGAGGAATTCTAGAGAAACATGTTGTGTCATCACTGAAGGTAGTCAAAGAACCATTATTATTTTGGTTTCATTAGAAACGGGGGCAATTAGCAGTTGTCAAATGGAAAAACACAAATGTAGAAGTTAGGGTGACCTCTTTGTGCCTTATTTTGCTTTAAGTTGTAAAAAGGACTGAATTAAAGAAAAAAGCCTGACTCAATCCTTTTAGCCTCAATTGCTCAGCTTTCATTCTTTTGATGTCATTGTCTTGCCATTTCTTCAATTACTGTAGTCTTTCAGGGCCGACAAGACCTAACTTATTTTTTAACATTCGAAACTCATTTGGTTTCTAAAAAAATAGTTTCAAGCTTATATTCTAATCTACATCATAAAGAAAGTAAAAAGGACAAAAGCTTCTTTTTTTGCTTTGTATGTCACTGATAAGAAATTTATCTTGAAGGAGATTTCACGTTGGAAAGAACTTGAAATAAGAACAGTGGTACAAACAACATTTCACCTTAGTAATAGTTGTGATGTTACAAATTTGTCAATATGAAAACATGACTGGATCAAGTAGGAAGTTAAAATAGACTGGATTAGAGTCAAGACCTTGTTTATACATAAACAGTTTTATACAGTTTTTGATAATTTTTAAGTGAGGAAAGAAAATTGTATGGAAAGTCAATAAATTAAGTCTTGCATGAAAGCATTTTTTTGGGCCTTTCTAAAGGCATTTCTGTTAGGGCAGGTGAAACAAAAATAAGTCTTTGGTCTAAAGGTTTTGTTATATGACTCACAAATCAAGGATTTGTGCTTCTAACACCTCTTTTCTCTGTGACAGCTTACATGTTCACATTTTTGTAGGAACACTTGTTCCATCTGAAATGGGTGTGCAAAAATTATATGTAATAAACTTCTGGTGTTGTTTTATTTTCTAGGAGACTAAGGTAGCTAGCCATTGACTTTACTGAGAGGGCTTGAATCCCAGGATGTTGGGCTCGAGCTAATGGGGCAAGGCAGGTGTTTAAATCCCATTTGTAGTAAACATGCCATTCTAAATTATACACAACAGTATGAACAGAAATCATAGGTTAGGATACACCATTTTTCTTAAATATACTAGTTATGTTATAATTGTCTACTTAAAATCGAGAGCCTTCGTATATAACACAATTGATAGTAATATTAAAATTCATATTGGGCCAAATTTTCTTCCTTTTTCTACCTATTGAAATCAGTGGGATTGTGCTTGTGTACTTGAGAGAGAGATTTGGCCCATTGTATCTAGTGGATAAAATACATACTGTTATTAGTTATGTAATATAACAGGAAGAAATTGTAAGTTGCAAACATTGGAAAGAGCTGAAGTCCAGCTCTGTTACTAAATATGTTAGCCAGTTAAATTACTGGTCTTTGATCCAAAGAAGACTCAGAATATTCTGGGTGACTATTGCTTGGCTTTGCACTTACGTTGCCAGAACATACCATAGTATTGTAAATAATGAATACAAGCAGTAGCTTTGAGTACTTTCATCAACCTCTTATTCTAGTTCTCTTTAAGCAAGATTATACAGTTACAGGGACTTTTGAGAGAGACACACCTAAAATGCAGTTGACCTAAAACCTATCAGGAATGCCCAAAGACTGCTATCCAGAATTGGATGAACTGTGCACTGGGGGATGCAGTCATTTGTTTTGAACCCTAATCTGTTTATCCTTAAAGCCACAAGCAGACAAGAAAAATAACTTTTCCACTGGTCTAAAGCTTTCAGAGCTATAATTCATATCCAGAATGAAATAGGCAATATATTGAGCAATTTTGCCTTTGTACTGTATTAAAAATTGAGCCACCTTGCTGTGTTTGATTCTGGGTTGTGTTTTGCTTGGGTCTCACTACTTTTGATGTATGTAGTCCCATAAGTGTTGGCCTGAGAAATGTATATACGCTCTTCATACATACTCTGCAAATGTATTCCAAAGCTTATCTTAGTAACAAGGTTCATCAGAATTCAGCATTCAAACAGAACAGCAATTCTCATTTCAAACTTAGTTTTTTTAAACTTACTTTTAATCATATTCACTACACTTAACTCCTTTTTCATATTTCACTTTTTGATAGCAGTTGCAATGCAGTACTGTAGTATGTAGAAAATATCCAGCTCCTCCTAAAGTTGCAAATCTGTCAGGCACCCTTCCCAGAAGTGGTGAGT